GCGGCTTCATTCTAGGGAGAGGAGACAGAAAACAGACAAGTAAGAAAGAAAAGTAAATATGGGGGGTGTGTGTGTGTGTGTGTGTGTGTGTGTGTGTGTGTGTGTGTGTGTGTGTGTGTAAGTGAATGAAACAGACTCTCCTATGGGACAGTCTGAGGGAAGATGGAGGCTAAAGCTGCTCTTGCATTTAGCGGGTTAGGGATGTGGCCTCTGTGATGAGGTGACATTTGAGCAGTGACTAGCCAGAAGGAAGAGACCCAGACTTGATACCCATGGAGGTTTAGGCGACTACAACTTTAGTGGCGGATGGGTGGTTAGTCACTTTTGTATACTAACGTTAATTCAGTTATGTTTATCATCAGGCAAAAACTATTCTTGCTAAAAATCTCAGGTAACTCACACTCCACTTCTAGGAATTGTCTTAAGGATAAATTGGAAATGTGGACATAGATTTATGCCCGAAGATGCTCATCATAGCTTTATAACATAAAAAAAAATTGGAATTTACCAAAAATGCCCTTCTTTCCCTGACCTCCCCACACTCAAGGCTCCCTTGGGCACTTCTGCTCTGCAGTTCCAAAGCCCCTGGACTTCCCTCTGTGGTCATGCTTTCTTCCTGTGGAAGACTTGCCTGCTTACCTGTCTATTTTCTCCCATTTGAGCTCCCTGAGGACAGGGTCTACGCTGCATTCAGCACCCATCACGGGGTCCGGCACATCATTAAGCACTCAATACATGTTCCAGAAAAGACTGGTTAAATGCTCTCTGGCATATCTAGAGACAGAGTATTATACATCTATTACAAATCATGTTTTTGAAAAAAAAAAGCAATGGCAAAGAAATGATAATACTAAGTATAAAAACCAGACTATAAAACCATAGACACAGAATGACCTCCATTATGAGACTCCAAAATTATTAAAGGCTGCACCTGAATGACATTCGGACAATTCCTGCCTTTCTATTTTTTTAAATTCAAAGCATTTCACATCTCTTTTTACTCTCTAAATTAATCTCACTGCCCAGACCATGCAGACATATTGGCCAGGAACCGCCCCCGCCCAACCACAACAAGGCCAGAGGGTACAATCCTACCAGGTCCCTGTGGTGGACATGTGGAAATATTAATCTGCCTTTCTCTTTGTCATTTCTATTTTCCACTTGGGGTATAATAATAGCTTCATAATCAGAAAAAAAGTAAGTTAGTTAAAAATACTCAAGGTGGGGCTTCCATGGTGGCGCAGTGGTTGAGAGTCCGCCTGCCGATGCGGGGGACACGAGTTCGTGCCCCGGTCCGGGAAGACCCCACGTGCTGCGGAGCGGCTGGGCCCGTGAGCCACGGCCGCTGAGCCTGCGCATCCGGAGCCTGTGCTCCGCAACGGGAGAGGACACAGCAGTGAGAGGCCCGCATACCGCAAAAAAACAAAACAAACAAAACAAAACTCAAGGTGACTGACTGGGTTCTACATTTGAACCTACAGTCATTACTCTGGTCCTTTAAACCTTAGAGGATTCGTTGGTAGGATTCTTGTCCACAGGCCCCTCCTTAGCATGTGTTGTCCTCCATTACCTTGAAGCTTCTCGTGCTCCGCCTGGCCTCCCTGTTTTGTCTTCCTCATCACCCCCTGCCAGATTCTCAGCACTAGATGTGTCCCTTTAAAACTGGGGCGTTTATCCTTCCAGGCCTGAAGTTCCCTCTGAGACCTCTCTCTCTCCATTCCAGATTCACTTCCTCCAAGGAGACTGCCCTGATTGAGAACAAGTAAGAACGTTTCACGGGAGCCTCCTGGGGCCAAGGCAGGGGGGCAGGTGGGTGTTTCATACGAGGGTCCCAGTTCATCTACCTCCTGTCAGCATTCAACAGCAGAGCTTCAGCCCCAGGCAAGTTCCTGGTCCTCTCAGATTAGGCCCCAAACTAAGAAACCCTCAGGAAGCTTGAAGAGAATCCTCTCCCTTTCTCCTAAGACATCTCTGTTTTTCTCCTGGGGAATAACCTTGGAAATGCTATTGACTTCTTTGTGGTTTTTCTTTTTAGCTTTAAAAATTGGTTTGAAAACCCTTTAAAACTTAAAAAAAAATTAACGAATAATGAAGTTTTGCATTTCCAGGGCACTTTCTCATCAAAGCGCTCAAAGTTTGCCAACAAATCTTGGTTTCTTGGAGAACTGGTCATATTCTACAGGGGTGAGAGAGAAGGGAAGCATTCACGACTTAAATGACATTGTTTGTCTGTATAATTTAATTAAACGTGTTGCCATTTAAAGAGAGCTGCCCCATGAAGCTGGTTCTCCAGGAACTCAACTCTTCGTTTTTAGTCAGTTTTTTTTCCCCTCTATTTTTTCCTTAGAAAATTCTAGCTACAACCTACTAGGTTACCTTGTTCTATTGTTTGGTTCAAATATTTTTATCACCTAATGCTCCAACAAGAAAAAAAGAATAGCCCATTTTACTGTGAAACCTGGATTCACAAATACGATTAGCACACACTTTCATTTATGGAGAGAGGCTGCCCTCACAGCCACTCCAATTTGGGGTCACTTAAAAAGGCATGAAATAAAACTACCTCTTAGGAATCTTCATCTGCTCCGTGGATTCTCCTTGGCTTCACAGGCTGCCTTCTGCTCCACGTGTTGGGAAACCCTAGGGACAGAACTAGGAATGACAGCAAAGGGTCATCGCCTTAAGAGACATGACCCCTCTCTGTCCTTTCACCAGTGACAGACATTTATTTCTGGCCGGGACAGAGCTTTCTCTGCCTAGGTCATTGTGTTTCCTCATTAGAGCCAGTTTTGGGAACGGCATCTCCTTCCCCTGGCTTGGGTCAAAAGCGCCAAGCCTTCCCTCTGTTGGACACTGCAATCGGCCGCGCTGAGCACCTATCACCCACACACGCGTTGCTCTGTTACAGTTTGTACAAAACCAAAGAGAAAAGCTTTTTACCAAACCCTCTTGGTGCTAAAACATCTTGACATTAATTTGTGCTAAAATAACTAGAGGACTAAAACCTAATCTAATACAAAAAAAGAGACCATGATGACCTCAGGGTACAATACAAAGACCTTTGTGGGACCTGGGGATTATTTTTATACAGACCACGGCAACTGTAAGCAATAAATTACACACCCTGTGGTTTTCGCATCAAGGAGCTGGTTACGAAAGGAAAGAAAAGCCTGCCATTAGTAACCAAAGACACACATGTGATGATAGATACAGGCTGTCTTTATGGGAGAAACAAATCATGTGCTTGAGTATGCTGTCTAGAATAAAAATAAAAATGGCTTTACACAATTATTTGGATAATAATTTAATGATCTTTACACTGAAAAAAGAATTTAGACCTAACTAGAATTTTCTGCTTAAATATGAATGTAAAAGTGAACAACTTAAAAATGGAATTCACAGCTACAGATTTTACTGGATTATTTCTCTTCACTTGGGAAAGATGGGAAGGGGGGCACTATATTCCATGTCTTCTGAAGACATTAAGACATTTCTCTGAGAGTAACCGAATTGTGGAAAATGGAGGGAAATGACTTTAATTCCAAGATATCATTCCTCTTGGACCATGACAACTTTGGACAAAAATATTTCCACAAAACTTCATTTTAATCATCTTCTTTACAAAGCACAATACTTAAGACTTTTCTAAATACAACTTTAGAAAATGAAGCAAAAAAATAATCTCCACAGATGCTGGTCGAGTCCAGGCTGAATGCAAAAGAATTTTTTCAAAAGTGATACTTGCAAGCTGTTCAATATTCTTCACAGGCCCATTTTGTAAAGAGTAAAGATGGTGGCTGTTCGGGCAGTGGCTCATCCAGTTCCATGACTGTAGAATCCTCTTGCTGGTTAGCCCATAAGGCAGTAATGAAGCTGGATACGCCAACTTCTCCTTCTAGAATTGCTCCTCCCTCTCCTGATACAAAGAAAGCCAATGGCTCTATTTTTCAGGTCGCCAGTGCCCCACGAGGGCACTCCAACCTCTCAATTTAATTTATTCACAATCTTTCTCTGTATACACATTATATAAAACTATACCATTAGGGATTTTCATGATGAGTGAATGAGAAATCCAAATGCCAAAGAATCCAATCCTCATTCTTATATTTGGTGGTGGGAAATCTCTAAAGGCTTCAAGTGTAACGTAGAAATGCCTAGAACAGTCAAGGGGTATAGGAATGTTTTATGTTGCCCTTGGAAACTTGGCGCTCCTGGCCCCAAGCAAACTGAGGGCAAGGCTGCTGGAAAGGCAGTATGCCCAGATATGAGAGTGAAGGGTGTGAGGCTTCTTTCTTTACACACTCCCTTCCCTTAACTGTGCCGTCACCCTGGAACCGTACGTGGAAGACCAGGATGTCCAGGGCTCTGGAAATACTCTGGAGGAAATAGCGGCCTCCGGCAACAAGGTTGAATAAGTAGGTAAGAGGAAGGCGGGGGAAGGGAGAGAGGCAGAGACCTTCATTGGTAATACTTTCAATGATCAAGAACGTGTGATGATTTTTTTTTTTTTGCATCACTCCTTCAGTGTTATCAATTCTCATTCTTTGTGGTTGTACAAATCTACTCATATTTAGTAGTTTCGCTCTAAAACTCAGGAAATGGACAAAGCAGCTTTTTAGAAACACATAAAACACCTTCAGGGGCCATGAAGGGACCACCCCCCCAGCCCCCAATCCCCAAACTACCTTGCAATACAGTATGCTCCCCTTATTTTCTGCTAAGGATGAGAAAACAGTTACATTAGTCTAAAGCCGAACTCTTCATTGGCTACAAAGATAAAGCGGACAAGCAAACACCAGTTTCCTTGGGTCGGAAAAAGCAATTCCATGAATGCAAGAGAGATCCAGTGGCTACGCTTCACCAAGCGTCTCCCCCCTTTCTCTTGGACCTGAGGAAGGGGTTACAAGAGAGCAAGGCAAATGAGATCATGTGAGTACACCTTCAACAACAGCACACGTGGATAGCCTAGTGCCGGAAATAATACAACTCCCCCCCCGCCTTTGTTTTCATTTGCATTTTACTTTTATTTAGTTTTGCTTTAATAATGCATATTCCGTTCACTCAAAAGGTGCAAAGGACAGGAAGCGGGGGTTTAACTTGGCTGATGAAAAATCAAGCAGGGGTGACATTTCTAGTTCATGAACAACCTAAAACTAGGAGAACTTAAAACTCACAGCTGGTACCAAAGAGCACGCCCAACTTCACAGCTGTCTCCTCTTAGGACCTTTGGTTAGGCGAGAGAAGCTTTGAAGACAGTGGCCTCTAGTAGACTTCGATAAGTGACTAAAAAAAATAAATGCGTGTGTGTGATTTTTAAATCATGGTAGCTGCATCACAAAAGCTCCAATCAAGAGGGTGGTAAAAAGAAGGCACAGATCATTGCAAATACCAGATTTTCTCTTTCTCTTTTTGTAAATATACCATCATATATAAGCTAAAATTTATCTTAGGGTGGTGGGGTTTGCTGGCAGGAGGAGGGACAGGTTGGACCTAAAATTGCATATGTAATAGACTCCTTGAGGGGGACACAGAGCGAGGCAGCTTTCCGCCTAAAGCAAAAGAATGGGATGCTCGCTCCGGACTATGTGTAATACAAACACTGGGGGAATCTGTGGCAAAACACGATTAAAAAAATCATAAAATTATAAAGCTTGTAAACGAAGACTCTAAAATTACATTTTATTAATGGAAAATATCATCAAAATAGTACCACTATGGACTAAACTGCCTGAGTTTTCGTTTCACGTGAGATCTCATAGTAAAAAAGCCTTTAGCACAATTTTCTCTGTTTAAGTCACAACCAGTGCCAGACCCAGGACTATACCATGGGGAAGAGTCTCCTCTTGGATGGAATTTGTGTTGTGCTATCAAGACTTTTGTGCTAATCTTTCAAACAGGGACATGTTGAGGCAATTTTTCATCTTTTGGCACAAGGTTATTTTGGCTGGGGTGGAAAATTTGAGTCTTGGGATGAATAATGCGACATTTCATTTATCAAGTATTCATTTTGATTGAAGAGCTTTCTTTATGTCATTAACTTCCATCTATAAAGGAAAAACAAGAGCCAAACAAAATCACAATGAATTGGCTGGTTGGATAAAAGCGGAAAGATAAGCAACCTGGTCGATTGAAAGCAAATAATCAACCTGACAATTTGAAAGGGGAAATGGGTGAAGTGACGTCTGAATCAAGAGTTGATCGTGATGCCAGAAACTGACATAAACCTAGAGAACAGGCACACCAACCCGAAGTGCTAGGAAAGGGAAGGGCGCCCGTTTGAATTCTCAGGCTACCGGTGACCAAAATTTGTCAAAAGCAACGATACAACAGTAATTCCAGTTTCTTGGCCAGAGGGTGGAGCAGGGTGTCCTGACACACTGGACCACTTGGCAGGTTTGGAAGGCAGCTGTGGTTGGGCCCAAGGGGGTGTCTATCAGCACCCACAAAGTGATGACAAGCAGTTACCTATCCTTTAAGCACCATGGATCCCAGTCACCACCAAGGGCACCAACTGCATGAGAGCTGAAAGCCTACCATTTCCAGCTCCTATACACTCTCTACCCTTTGGTAAAGGCTGAGTTAGATCAGAGGGAAGCTAGAGAGAGGGTGACAGAGCTCTGATGCCCTGCAGGACTGACACGGCTGTCGGGGAGAAGTAAAGAGATAAAGAGCAAGTGCCAAGTGTGGCCGGCTGTGGTCCTTGGGGTCCCAATAGCGGCATGACAGAAGCGCCAATGGGGTCTCCCTGGCACCATACGCCCTCTGGCAGTTACGACAATGAGGCCTCTGAAAACTGAGGGGAACTTCTCACAGCGGAGATGTTTCAGATAAATTCCAAATGAGAAACCCAACTTGGGGCACGTTTGCTAATGCTTCCCTTCCCCAAGACTTCCTGGATCCCAGGAGAGGATGTGAAGGGAGGCTATATAGTTCTAAGAAAATTCTCACAGGGAGCGCATCGAAATGGGCAGAGAAGTAACTATCATTTCTTTTCTTCTTATTTTTTTTAACATCTTTATTGGAGTATAATTGCTTTACAATGGTGTGTTAGTTTCTGCTTTATAACAAAGTGAATCAGCTATACATACACAAATATCCCCATATCTCCTCCCTCATTTATTTTCAAAATAAAGCCTGGACTCTGCTCCCACCCCCAACTGAGCCTCTCACGGGGCAACAGGACCCCAAGGGACCCACCTGCAACCGAAGCCGGATTTTCTTCTCTTCATCCAACTCTGACAGTAACTGCTTAATCTCTCGTCTGGAAAGCAAATGACAAAATTAAACAGAAGCCCAGACTTCCCCGACAAGAGATATGAAGTCTCTCATCATTACAAAATCCATCTGATCCTTTTACAAAGAAAGTGTGGACAGAACATTACATTATATTTTCTTTGCATGGCTATTGCTTAAAGCCTGTGGCAGATGGAAAGGCCATTATTTCTGGGCTCCCCAAATATGTAGCCATCAAATAGTAGGTCTGAAATGACCTTTGAAATCCCTTAGTGCAAGTTCCTCCTAAAAGAAGATGGGGAAACTGAGGCCCAGAGAGGTGGCCTGACTTGCCCAATGACGACACTCCAGGTATCCAGGCTCATATTCGGTCATCTTCCCTCTAACCAGTCCTTTATTACAGAATCACTGGTCTTTACATGGACTTACATAATAATATTCATTGCAGACATTTTTACCACTCCATATATATTTCTTTTATTTTCACAGAGTTTTACATTACTGAAAGGTTAGTGGTATGTTTTCAGAGATTCTCACAAAATCGTGCAAATAGTAACACCCGAAAACTTGGAGGTAAAAGAACTGAACTAACGATATGGTAATCATGTCATAGAGAAAGTAGACACGAGTTAGAACACACAGCCCAGTGCCCTTCCCAACAGTAAGTAGAACAAAACTAATCATCTTGCAAACTCAGGCTCTACACTTAGGACACTGCAACCATCCTAACTCTGGTCAGAGAGCTGTACTCCATTTTAGGGTATCAGACACTCCATTTTACGCACACGTTTTTATAAACTGGACTGGAAAATCAAAACACAAACGCTGCAGAACCAGCACAATAAACAAGGCAGATGTTATGCAGCATTTGCTCACTTCAGATGAGCACCATGATGGTCCCTGCACTTAGGTCAGTGTCCCAGCACTGCTGTCAACACGTTGGGGTCTCTGACATTAACCACCTGTGCTGCGTTTCCTGCATTTATTCAAGCACACGCTATGCTCCAGCAGTCCAGGTTGGGGAGTTAGCTGGGGAGGGAGGTGCGAAGAAAGTCACTAAGTCGTGAACTAGTAAAAAAGGGTACGTCTATGAGGAGGGAGGAAGATGGGGGAGCTGACAGAGAAGAGCCAGGACAGAAGCAGGGAGGTGAGAACTGCATGTTTGGGGATGAGGGGAATCAGTACAGACTTGAGCCAAAGGCTGAAAGGAAAGTGACGTCAAGGGCTAAGGTGGGAGACTGGGGGGGACCCAGTGCTCCTGGGCCTGAAGGCCAAGCTGAGGAAGGCTGTGAAGGGCAGGCCTTGGAGAGGGGCCACTGTGATGTTTGATTCAAGAAGATGTTGGCTGGGGAAGGACAAGTGCAGCCATCCATGCCCGGGTTCACAGCGGAGAGAGGAACAAAGGGGTGGAGTGGCCCCAAGGCACTGGCGACTCTGCACTCAAGACTGAGGCACAGGCCATTTCAGAAAAGTTCCGGGCACTTTTCAGAGCGAGGGCCCCAAGGGACGAAGCCCTGGATCCAGGAGTGTCTGACCCGTCGTGTTCAGAAGGCTGAGAACCAGTGCTCTGGGATGTACTGGTGCTGTCGGGTCACTGTCCAGGCAGGGGACACCTGTCGCCTGGACACGGATGGGGCCTTTGGGTACCCAAAGCTATACTGTGCCGGGTCAGATACGAGCTGGGGACTTGGAAGAGTTAGGGGCAGCCTGGCTGGCCCCTCAAGACCCGCTCTAGTCCCATCCTGCGGTTCTGCATATTTATCTGATGAGCCTTTTCCAGGCAGGGGGTGAGTCCAAGAGGCCCCCAATTCATATGACACCTCCAGCCTGAGTGGAACAGAAGTGAATAGAGCCGTAGTACTCAAAGTGAGTTCCATGGAAGCCTTGTCCTAGAATGTTCTAGGGAAAAAATGGACTCCGTGATTAAGTACGTTTGGGAGACACTGCATACGTTATCCTCCATCTTCCCATGCACAGCGAAGGCTCTGAGCAGTCCTTCGGAGAAGAAAGTAACTTTGTTTGACCCAATTATTCCCCAAAATACACAAAACACTTCAGGGCCCTCCAGCTGCAGGCGTCCTCCCGAAGGTGTGACTGCGGGTCGGTGGCCCCATTGCCCGCCACTGCCCCGGGCACCTCCCGATCCGGGCGGCCAGGCATCAGGAAAGCACTGACCTGCCGGGCCGCTCCATGCGCCTATGAACCTGCCCGTGCTGTGCCCTCCGCTGGGGTGCTCTGCTCTTGGCAATGCTAGGTCGGCTTTCGAAATCCTACTCAGGAAACACCTCGAGATGCCTCCCCGCTTCCCTCCAGAAAGAGCCAACGGATCCCTAAACTCTGCGCCTCCGTTTATTCAGATAAGTGCCTCCTGACTTCTAATCCTTTTACCATCATTTTTTAACTGCACACAGCATCCTGGGTGATATGCGTGTGATATTTATTTTGGCTTGCAGGTCCCTCTCCCCATCTAAGCGCCCCTTGAGGATCAGAGATGCGGAGTGCGTGTGTGCAGGCATGCACAGAGGCCGCTCGAGTCTCCTGGTGAGAACATCTTGATGAGTGTCAAGCCTCAGGTTTAAAGAGTCCCTGCATCTTTTGCATACATTGTACCCCTAAACGCAAGCCAATTCCTTCATGGGGCAGCTAACTGAAGGAATTGCAATTTTTCTGGTGCTAGAAGAAAAGCTGGCTGTTGGGATTATTAAGAAGTGGTGCATGCACCACTTCCGTGGTGTCTTCTGGGGATTTGAAGATCTTTCTTTTTCGCAGCCTGCTGAGCACGTCCCTTGTAGCTGACTCCTCCCCCTATGCCCCGGCGCCAGCCCGTGTGCAGCTGGCCCAGTTTACACGTGGAGCTGAGCTCAATGAAGCTCCTCGGGTTCACACCCCCACTCCCAGCCCTGCTCCCACCATCCCCAGGGAGGCGGCCCATCCTCAGGGACAGGCTGGGCCCCAAGGTGGCAGAACCAGGCCCTGAGCCGGTGGAAAGCAACCCCCGGAGGCAGTTACAGAAGGGGCCGCAGACACTCACTTCTGCTGGTCCTTCATGGTCTCGACGATGCCCCTCAGCTCCCGGACCTGTGTCCTCAGCTCCTCCACGGCCGCCTGGCTGCTGGCTGGAGGCTCCATCTTTGGTTTTCCTTCCGCGCCGAACAGAGACGGGGAGTTGGCTCTGTGTCCAACTGCTCCCAAAGAGGACGACAGGGGAGAGGATGCTGCTGAGGACAGAGGGGCCGGCCCGCCACTGCCCGCAGCCATGGTCCCCGGCTTGGGCGGCAGCGAGGCTTTGTTGTCGGACACCTGTGATGAGTGAGGACAGAGAGGATTCAGGCTAGGGATTTGTGTGCTGCACCTCCCCATCCTGTTTACTAAAACCCGCTATCTACATCACTGTCCCCGCAGCCCTCCGTATACTCCACTCACTCACTCATTCCTTCATCCACAAGCCCCCAGGGCCTACTTGGTGCAGGCATCCCCTTATGAATTTTAAATTTGACCACCTTTCTGAACAGGTAGTTCCTGACCGGTTTAATGTACACATCCAGAGGCCCATGTACCCGCTAGGCTCTGCAAACCCTGAAGTGAGCAAAACATTTTCTTGGCCCTCAAGGAGCTTAGAACCCAGTGAGGTGCAGACAGACAGACCAACCAACACACTGTAGATGCGGGGGGGGGGGGGGGTG